TTGAGCAGCTGCTGCGCTGCTGGTGTCCGCATCTGCAAGGTAAGAGTGAGATAGCCCATCCCACCCCCTTACAGAAGGTGTGACAAAGAGGAAGAACCTTAAACAAGAGCCAATAGTAGCTTCTGTTTTCTTCAGAGGGTCATCCTCACTCAATCTAAAATCAGGTCTATATTTTATAAAATCATCAAATTATCAAGGTATCATATCAACCAATGTTATTGTCCCACCCCAGAGTGGGATGTGTTTCTTGCAATTACTCTGAGCTGTATCAGTGTCCTTTTCCTGATTCCCAAGCCCCAAGATTTCTAATACCCATTACACTAATCTTCTATGCTGAATTCTCTCTTTTGACACACACACACTGTATGAAACACCTAACTGAATCTTTTAACACAATGTCCAGTGAGTGTAGAGGTGCAGACAGGGGGTTATCTACACCCCTGGAGCCATACTCCATCTGAAGAGAGACTCATGAAGACATGCATACCAGGCAGCTCGTCATGGCCTGATCTGTGCAAGCAAGGCTTAGACACAACAAGAGTGTCTACCAGTAGACTGGTGGATAAAGTGTGATGGGGTACTCGTAGCCACCTAGGTCAGGCCGTATGTAGTAAGCAGCAATGGACAAATATCCACAATCGAATAATTACAAAACCAGCTCACAACTTGTTGTGACCAGTTCTAGTAGAGAAGAGCCGACAGGCACACGGCCAGCCTCACAATGGAGCTGTGAATCCCACAGCTCCTGGACTTTAGGCAGGATTTTCAGCTTTGTCTTCGTGCATTTCTCTTTTACAGATTTGTTTCTTCCCTTCCCCTCCTCTCCCTTCCTTTCCTTCTTTCTTTTTGTCTTTGAGATAGGGTCTCACATGCTTCCCAGGCTGGTCTAACTCAGCAGCTCACAGGGCCCTTCCCAACTCCACCCCAACTCAGAGCACCGTGAACGACACACCTGCCTGGCTGTTGTTTAACAGACAGATTCCTACAATAAACAGGAATTTTATTTTAACCACAACAAGAAATACTTTTTTAAAACTACCTTGCCTTTACACCATGTTTCACTGGTGACTCAAGGGCAGTGAGGTTGTTATAAGTGAGCTGAATAGAGGGTGAACATGTCACTGTCACAGTTCATGTGAAGTCCTACCTGAGTGTCAGGGTTAGACTTGCTTGGGAATTTCACCTGACCAACTCTGGGGATGAAATGTGGGTCCTCTATTCCATTTTCCTGACTTACAGGGTCCTTCACGATGGCATCCTGTGATCTGAAGCCTTTGTATTATGGTTTGAAAATGGTTTGTACCCTCAAAGCATACATGGAAACTTTATAGCCATTGGAGCATTGTTGAGAGGTAGTCTGTGAAGGGGTGACTAGGCATCAGGAGGGATTAGTGCCCTTGTCACTGGTTGGTTGGGGTCAGTTACCATGATGGTGCGTGTTGTTAAAAAGTGAAGCCACCCACGGGGCTAAAGAGATGGCTCATGCATAAGAGCACTTGTCGCTTTTGCAGAAGACCCGAGTTCCAGTCCCAGAACCACATGGTGGCTCACAACTATCTGTAGCTCCAGTTCCTGGGGATCCAATGCCTTTTTCTGGCCTCGGTGGACACTGCATGAATGTGGTGCACAGACATACATGCAGGTAAAACACCAGGACACACACAAAATAAATAAAATCTTTAAAAAAAAAAGTGAAGCCACCCTTCACAATTCTCCTCTGCCACACATCCCTACATGAGAAATACTTGCCCCACGCTCTTTGACATCCCAGACTTCAGAACCATTAGCCAAAATAAACCCCCTTTCTTAAAAGTTACCCAGCTTCAGATAATTTGCTATAACAACTGAAAATGGATACATAGTCACAGATTAATGGAGGTCAGTGGAGAACTGCTCAGAGTCATTCTAAAATGGGTCTGGGGACACGGAAGCATAGTGGTCATTTCAGGAAATAAACTCTGGTCTGAGGAGATAGCTCAGTCAGGAAAGAGCTGGCCATCCCAGCACGAAGATGGGATTGGATCCAGGGTACTCATATTAAAAGCTGCATGTGATGGCATAGTCTTATAAACCCAGTGCTAGGGAGGCAGAGACAGGTGGATGCCCAGGGCTTGTTGGCCAGCCAGCCTCATCTAATTGGAGAGCTCCAGGTAAAAATGTGAGACACTGTCTCAAAAACAAGGTGGATGCGTGGCCACACACACACACACACACACACACACACACACACACACAGAATAAAAACACTATATAAAAGTAAATTGTTTTGCTATTCCTGTTGGCAGGCCTGTCAATGCCGGAAGTTAATTTCTTCCTTCTATACCACCCAATTGCATCAGGTGTTAAGTGGTTCCTTGGTCCAGACAATTGGTCAATAACTTCCAAATCCCTTGTGTAGACTAAACAAATCAAAATTTATTTTTCCTTCATGCTACTTGCTGGAGGGTTAGGTTCTGCTTTAGACTTGGCCTAATGGAGGCTTGACATGTCTGTGCCTGCAACATCTGGACTATCTTAGCCACTGCTGCTGCTGGAAAGAGATCATGGCGGGGTTGCCTCGTACCCACACTCAAACGCTTTGTCTTAGAAGTGATGCACATTGCTGATGTTCATCACCCGTTGGTTAGAGTAGTCTCAAAATTCCACCTCTCTACAGCAGGACCAGAAAATATAGGAGAGCATGTGGGATGCAGGAAAACACATGTTCCTGACATGTAAGGACCATGCCCTTTATGTCAAGGGGATGATAGTGAGTGTACTCCAAGCCAGGGAAGAGAATAGGGAGGCTCCAGAACCCCGTTCCTCCCACCCCAGAGGAGTAACCCTCTGCTGTGTGCAGGCCACTCTCAGGCTAGCGTTTCAAGTTGCTGATATGGGCAAACAAGGAGGTCTGGTCTCCCAGAACTACTTTCACATCAACTTCCAGACATGATCTGGAGGGATCCTCATGAATGAAGTGATAGAATGCTGTCCTGGGTTTGGCCAGGGGCCTTTCCTGCATCCATTTCCTTGTCCATAACAGTCCTGTATGTACAAAATGTAAAGGAGATGGACTACCCTTTCTATCAAAGGGCTAAATGAGACAGAGTGGTCCATCTTTAGAGAAGTTAGTAAAGACATCATCTGGCAGAAATTCCCTCCCCCCAGCATTTTCCAAGGTAAAAGTATGTGCATGAGGTGGCCTCCTGATCTCAAACGTGACCCTTTGCCTATCAGCTGGCCCACTGGGTCTGACCACTCAGAATGAGGTGCAGAACCCCTTTGCATTAAAAAGCAGGGCTCCCACTGAGTGTGTTTGCTTGCTGGATTTAGAGGGGCTGTTCATTCTTCTGCAGAAGTAAAAATTTTTGCCTTGCTGAAAAACTTTGTATTGTGTGGATATTTTCTTGGAACCCCAGACCCATTTCTGATACTGTGTTGCCATGATCTAATTATTCACGTACTTTCCATTGGATTGTAAGTCCTGTGTGTTCGTAGCTGAATCCTCAGCACTTAGCACAGCAGCTGACAAGGCAGGAACCACCAAATGTTCACAGATCCTCTTAGATTCCAAACATACGTTGATGTAATTAAGCTTTCACACCGGGCAGCTGTCAATCTTCTGCCACAGCTGTCCTTCTTTACCCTCCACAAGCACAACTAAGTGTCTTTTCAATATGAATGATCAAGAGACGTTAAAGAGCCCGGCCACTCAAACGCAACACCCAGCACTATGAGCTATACACTCATAGGTGTGTTCCCAGACTTTTCTGTGCCCCGATTCCCTTACCGGCACAATGCAGGTTCTAGTGGTCTCTGCCTTACGAGTGCTTATGAAGACTAAATAAAAAAGTATTGCCAAGCAATGCTTGCTCAGAACAGCGCTGTTAGCTAAAAGGCCATGACTTCTCTTTATCCCCCCCACCCTGCCACTTCCCTGTGTCCTCACACACTTCACCCATATTTCTGCCAGTGCCTGTGGGGTGCTTTCTGTATAGTGGATCTTTCCAAAAGTAGAGTTCAAGCCACTGAAGGCAGACTCAGGATCTTAGGGAGGGTGGAGAGATCTGCAAGAATCCCAGGGTGGTTTTCAGGGGATGTTCCAAGCCAAACAAACCATTCTTCAGTGCTAGGTATGGTGGCACACACTTATAATCCCAGCAACTAGGAAATTGATGCAGCATGGTCATGAGTTTGAGGCCATCCTGGGTTATATAGTGAGACTCTGTTGATGATTCATGCTGACGATGATTCTGTAGTGAGTTAAGTCAGGGGGATCAGACAGACTAGCTCTATGCAATGTGTATTAAAACATCAAACAGCTCATGAAGCCCTGTAGTAAAGAAACCTGCTTGGTTTGTTGAGTTTGGAGCATGCCCAACTTGCCCCTATTCTGTTCGCTGTCATGCATGATACTTAGAAAATCTATTGGATGTAATCAGGGGTATCGGTGACCCTGGACTCAGATAGGCCTGAGCCACCTGACGCTTTGCAGATGTTCTGCCTGGGCAATCTCTATCACTGGTAGAATTCTCAGCTTCCAACTTGTAAAATGGCAATCAGGGTACAGACCTTCAGAACCTCATAAGCTAAAACTTCCTCGGCTTGCCTGACCCATGTGGGTGCCGCTAACTGTCCTTCCTGCCTTCCCACCCTCCACTCCAAGGTCTAGCTGGCCTGAGTGACACTCCTGCTTGGATAGGGTGTGACAGGTTTGAGGAAACAGGGCACATCTGGCCCCTGGCCACTGTTCTGCCATTCCCAGGCAGTCGCTTCTCATCCAGATTTAATATTGATCCATGTCTGTAACTCCAGTCCATCCTCTTCTCCTTGGTGACCCCCATGGCCATTCTTAGAGGCCTCTACTGAGGCAGGAAAGAGCCTGGCAGGCTGCAGCTTTTCCCTGGATGGACAAGCACATCTCCCCTCATCAACAAACGCTATTTTTACCCTGAACCCAGTTGCTTTTTGCATACATCGAAGGAGTCAGTTTAGGAGAGGAGACGTCTGTTTCCGGCAGTTTTATTTTCTTTTATATCGGACACCTCACATCACCTCCTTATTTCAAGCTGCCCATCTGGGAACTTTGCCATCCAACTGCAGGCGAGGTCTTGTTTTGGTTTGGTTCCTTACTGAGTGAGAGCCAGCTTCCTCTGTGGCCTGCACAGCTGTTTTTGGCTCTTCACAGCAGGTGTCTTCTGGAGAGCAGAACTGCCCCTCTGGGAAAAGCTGTAGAGTTTCTCGAAGGACAAAAATCTTAGGAAGTTTGCTTTCTGTCATTGAGAAGCCATCCACAGCAATACATACTTCCTGAGTGCCTAAATACAAGAAAATTCTGTATTTTAGCTCTGTATTTCATCTTTATCCACTAAGTGAGAAATGATAGGACATAGGACTTGGTGGCTACATAGCGGTACTGGTGGCTTCTGTTTTTGTTTTCTTTTAAAAATTTTTATATTTATTTTATTTTATGTGTGTGAGTGCTTTGCCTGAATGTATGCCTGTGCTCCACATGCATGCAGGGTGCCTAAAAGTAGCAAGCCTTGGGGTGCTGGGAACCGAACCCAGGTCCTCTGCAAGAACAGTGAGTGCTCTTAGTCCCTAAGCCACCACTGAAGCCCCCTTCTATTCTTCATTTATCCCCCCCTTTTTTTTTTATTAAACTCCAGAGGAACACAAAATGAGCAGGCTGCAGCCTGAGCATCCCCCGTGGATGTGAGGAGAGACAGGTGTTTGCCTACAGAGAAAGTGTAAATAGGAGAGTCAGGGGTTTTGTTTGCAAAGACTTGGGAGCTGTTGACTGTGTCTGAGCAGAGGCTGACTGAGAACTATGGTGCCTCATGAAAACTAGTCAGGCAGGGATGGATCAGGGAAGAGAGTGGAAAGCATTTAAGAGATAACGGTCATGAGATGAACCAGGACCAGGCAAAGGGAACGGGAACAGAGTCTCAAGCAGAATGACAGCCCCAGACCACAGGCTGAGTTGTTGGTCACTGGCTGGGAGGAGGGGGGTGTCAGTCAGTGATGGCCCCTGGGTGCCTGGAGCGTCCTCTAGCCTCCAGCCCTGCCATCCCTGGCTTCGTTCACAGGAGTATCTAGCCTACTCCTTCTCTGTTTTTTCTTTCTTTCTTTCTTTCTTTCTTTCTTTCTTTCTTTCTTTCTTTCTTTCTTTCTTTCTTTCTTTCTTTCTCTCTCTTTCTTTCTTCTCTCTCTCTCTCTCTCTCTCTCTCTTTCAAGACAGTGTTTCTCTGCATAGCCCTGGCTATCCTGAAACTCACTTTGTAGACCAGGCTGGCCTGGAACTCACAGAGATCCGCCTACCTCTGCCTCCTGAGTGCTGGGATTAAAGGCGTGTACTACCACCACCTGGCTTGTTTTTCTTTTTGAGGCAAGATTTCATGTAGCCAAATTACATGGCCTCAAACTCACTGTGTGGCCAGGGTTGACTCTGAACTCCTCGTCTTTCTGCTTCTACCTCTTGAGTGCTGGAATTACAAGCATAAGCCTGGGTGTCTGATTTGAATCTGTCTTGAGTTTCAGGACTATTTACATTCCACTTACAAACCTTTCCAAAATCCTAAGACTGAGTTACTCATCACTTTCCCTGTGCTGTCCCGAATTCTTTCCATCTTTCTATTGCTCAGTAAACTCTTGAGGCAACCAGCTCAACATCCTGTCCCTCTGGATTGTGGCTAAGACACCAGCATGGGGTCAGAGGTAGATATGGCAGGTGAGCATTATAACTGGTTCACTAAGCTCTTGAACCCTCAGCTGCTGGTATTCAGTGGCTGTCCTCAGGTGGCTCCTATATATGGAGACGACTCAGCCCATGCCACTAATGGTAACCTGGAAAAATCTGCTCAATTCTGGTTCCAACTTTCAGGGCATGCACCCTTTAGTTAAGAAGCTGATGATATAACGAAGTACTAGTAATAGTGGCCACCTGTAGGGCTAGTCCACTTTAGCAAACACTTCAACATTTGTCCTGACCTTCAGATATCCCTGGAGGTGAGCATGCTGGCTGGCAGGATCTGTGTGGAAGATTAGAATGGAGACCCAGAGCTGTGACTCAAGGAGACACTGTCGCCAATGGCCAGAAGAGAGCCGATGGAAGCCGAGAGTACAGCCATGAATTCACTCAACAGACACTTACTGCTGAGCGCCTTCCAGGATCCAGGAGTTCTTCCAGGCTCTAGATCTGCAGACTGAAAAACAGGGCAGCCAGTCCCTGCCCTCTTGGAGCTTAGAGTCTATTAGATGAAAACAGACAGTAACTAAAGTTATTAAATCAACTGGAGCTGGCTGGTGTAAGAATTATGGAAAAGAGTAAGGGAACAGAGTGTCTGTGGATGGGGCTGTTCCGATTTGAACCAAGTTGCTCTGAGAAGGCTTTACTGAGAAGGTGACATTTAAGAAAAGGTATGAGGAACAAAGAACCATAGGAACAGGCCCTAGAGGACAAACTCACTGGGCCAAGGAGTCAAGTCAGAAAGATGCAATTTCAAAAGTGACTTCTGCGATCTTTAGACAATTAATTGAAAGACAGAATAGAAGTGTTCACCAAAGTAGTAAAAATATGTAGAATTAAACCAAACCTGGTATGCATTTGACCTTCATGGTTTGAAGATAGCTATTAAATAGTTCAGCTATTCTTTCCTCAGTTTTATGGGATTATCTCAAGATATGGGAGTAATTGTAGCTCTAGGCGTTTGGGCCACCTTAGGTGGGAATGTAACAGCTAGCAAACAGAAACTGTGGATAGCACTATGGATCCCCCTGATCATGCCCAGCCCCTTAGCCAGGGACCTTCTTCTCTCCAGCATAGACAGTGATTATCAAGGCACTGACCCTCTGTAGAGGATGCTGACAAAGATTGCCCAGCTCCTCAGGCAGGAGGCTGATGGCTCCAAGAGAAAGCCTCCACACTTGAGGTCAGGGCTCTCCTTGGAGGAAACCCGCATCAATTGCTGATCAATGGGCAGGGAAGGTTGTTGCCATGAGTAACAGCTCTGAATCGTCACTGAGCTCCAGCACATGGGCGGGCAGCTGCCTGTGTTGTATCTATTACAGTTCCTCCTGACCCATCTTCTCCCATTGCCCTTGATCCCACACATCCCTCATCTAAGTCCTGCAGACCTCAAAGAACATACCTTTAATATGCACTTGAATTGCTTCTGCCCCTTCCTCCCTACCATTCTATAAACAGACAAGTGTAGCTTATCTCTCCACTTAGAGTCTTCAATATGCCTTGGAGGGCTGAGCATCTGCATATTCCTGGGGCTTTAGTTTACACACCTAAGGATGTCATTTCTGTTTCTGTCCAAAGAGACTCAGCAACTTCATCAGCTCCTGACACAGGTGCAGGCGGCCAAAGGGCTCAGCCCACAAGCAGCCATGCCAAACCATTTCTCTAAGCTGTTTTTGCTGATGATGCAGCCACTCCCCCGCCCCAATCCCTCTCCAGGAAATACAAGTCTTTTATCAGCACCTGGGAGGAAAAGGAGGTTCAACCGCCCTGTAGACACAACCCGCACATGTGATGCCAAGCGCAGTCCTTAGCAACCTTGAGGTTTTATTTTAAATGTTTAAGTGTTTCTCAAAAAAGAGACATTCATGGGAGGGGGTTGATGTGGAAAATCGTTTTCAATGCAGTAGTCATTTTCAAAATACAAACTTTTGAATAATCCTTTCCTTTCTAAAATTTAAATAAAAGTAAAATTCAATGTTAGAAAGTTGTAGGGACAATAGTTCTCGCATCATGTGCCAAATCTAATGTCTATATTTAACTAATATACATACATACATACATACATACATGCATGCATACATACTAGCTACATGCTGCTGTGGTACAAGGATGTCGGCTCCTTTCAAACATATCCTGGGGCAACAGGTTGCTTCATGGCAGAAGAAGTAAATTTTCATACTGCTGGTCAGCTGAATCTCTGCTAGAAAATGTAGAAGAGAGACTAAGCTTGGTAGGTAAGAGCATTTGCCATGCAAGTGTGAGGACCTCAGTTCAGATCCCCAGGGCCCTTGTAAAAAGTCATATGTGATTACTCGTACCTGGAACCCCAGTGTGTTGGGGGGTACAGAGAGAATGAACTGCTGCAGTATCTTGGCCAGCCAGGCTAGCCAAAATGGTGAGCTCCAGGTTCAGTGAGAGACCCTGCCTCAAGGGAGCAAAGTAGAGTTTGATAGGGCAAGATGCTAGAGGCCCCCCTCCAGGCTCCACATTTGCACACATGGGCACACAAACTCACATACACACTGCTAACACACCAACAATAATGCCAAATTATCATACTATTTTCAAAGACAGAGGGTCCAGAACAACAACTTCTGCTGAAGGAAGAAGTTGACCTCCTGTAGCTTGGGTAGCTGGGGGAGGGAAAAGGGAAATCCCACAACTTTGATTAGACAGTTGGGTGAATTTCATCAGCTCCAGGGTCATCAAGTCATCTCCTGAATTCAGGCAGCTCTAACAGAACACTGGCAACAACAGCAGTTTATCTCTCATGCATCTGGAGGCTGAGAGGTCCTAGAGCAAGGAGCCAGTAGATTATCCCTGGGGAGGGGTCAGCTCTTTGTTTTCAGATGGCCCCTCCCACTAGCTCCTCCCTGGAGATCCCTCATGAGAGAAAGATCACTTCTCTGTCTCTGTCTTTCTCTGTCTCTGTCTGTCTGTCTGTCTGTCTGTCTCTCTCTCTCTCTCTCTCTCTCTGTGTGTGTGTGTGTGTGTGTGTGTGTGTGTGTGTGTAACAGCGTATGTTGAGGGCACAGAACACCGAGTCAGTTTTCTCATTTCACCTTTACATTCATTAGTTCCAGGGATTGAAAGCAGCCCTCCAGGCCCGATCCATCTCAGCTAACCTCACTCTGTCTTTTCTATTAAGGACCCTAATCTCATTCCTAAAGGCCCCACCCTTACGAACTGACTAACATTGAAGTCCTTGCCTCCCAGTGCATTCACACTGGGCATTAGAGCTTTACCGTGTGAATTATTTATGGTCAAGGCAACACAAATATGCAGTCTGTAGCAATGGAAAGAAAACAGATACACACGTTGTTTTGCTTATTAGATTCATACGTTGTCACATTAAACATGTGTTTCTCATGCAGACCTTTGGTTCACAACCCTGGCTGCGTAATAAATGTACCCAAGCTTCTAACGGTGGCCAGTCCCAGTTGCAGACTAGAGGAATTAAATCTGAAGGTGGAGGTGGGAGTGTGTGTGTGTGTGTGTGTGTGTGTGTGTGTGTGTGTGTGTGTGTTTCAGAAGCTCAAGGCTGAGAAAACGGTGGCATGGAGTCTTTGTTGAGCATGACTGAGATGGAAAACTCCGCTTTGATCTCCTTTATAGAATTCTGAAATTCTCTTGACACTTGGGTTTGCTAATGAAAAAAAACTATTCTGAACTGCTGGGTCATTTTCATCAATACTCTGGGTAATTTAAATTTGCACCACCAAGATCTCACCAGGTGGCCGGTGGCAGGGCACCAGAAGGCATCACCTGCCCTGTATGAGAGAGTGTCACAGGACAAATAACTGCTCTTCTATTGTTCATGTCCAGGTGCCACACTGGGGTAGAAATCTGAAGGATGTCACATCTCCTGGAGTCACTGAATGGATTGGCTGTGAGGGGCCGAAACAACAAAGCCAGGGTGAGCCAAAGCAAGGACTAGCTTTAGCTGTCTCCACAGGAAAAAAGAAAAGCAGCGCCCTCTATAGACAAAAGTAGGAAGCTCACATTTTAGTGATTTTGTTCTCTGACACACGAGCTTTCCAGTACTCATGTTCATCCACCCACATGCCTCTACACACAGAAATACACAGTCAAGGGCACTACACACACATGCATGCACACACACAGAGGCACACACACACACACACATACACAGGCACACAGAGAGGCACACAGAGAGGCACACACACGCAGAGGCACACACTTACACACACACACACACACACACACACACACACACACACACACACACACACACACACACACTGAAGGCAAAGGCAATACAAAAAAGGACCACATTAGTAGCACCAGCCTGGTCTCCGATTATTGTACAGAGCAGGAATTCCAGCTTCCTGGAATTCAGACTTATACCCACGAGTAACGCTGCAACATGAACCCACCAGTGTTGCCAACAGCATGCTTTTACCTGCAAAGGAGCAAAGCAGCTAGCTTCCTGAACCGGCCAGATTTTCCGTTTCTCTGGCATGGAAGTTCTCTTTGTCACCACTGGGGGTCAGTATTTCCATCTTAGAAGGCTTTGGGGTTGTGAGCCAAGCTGCCGAAGGAAAAAACATGGTGAATTAGATATCAACTAAATGACTTTTGGGGGTTCCAGCATCCTCTTTTTTTTTATGTTCCCTGCATCGAGTTCTGTCTGTGTTTTCCTGTGTGCAGTAAGCATCCATTTTACTTGCAAAGGCTGACATCAGGTTTGTACCATTCATTCAATTTAGAAAAAGTTATTTGACGGTTTCGTGTGTGTGTGTGTGTGTGTGTGTGTGTGTGTGTGTGTGTGTGTGTGTGTGTGTGTGTGTGTGTAATGAATTTTTGTTGTTTTCACCTGCCACCCATTCATTCGTCTGGTCAACATGTTTTGTGTATGAGAGTGAGTGTGTGTTGGGGGGAGGTGAGTGTTCGTGTACGTGCTTGTAAACTACAGGACAACCTTCAGATTTCCTCTCTCCCTTGCACGGAGCTTGCCAAGCCAAGTAGGCTGGCTGGCCAGGGAGCCTCAGTACCTGCCTGCCTCTGTACCGCCGCCCAGTACTGGAATTGGAAGCACATTTTATATGGGCTGTGGGACTCCAACTCAAGTCTCCCTGCTTTCAGGACCACAACTGAGCCATCTCCCGAGCCCTAAATGAACACGCGGTATCCTGTAGCACAGGATCTCCTCCTATGGAGCTTTGGGGATTCTGGATGCCGAATACGGCTTGAAAGTGGCCATTCTGTAGGAAAAGAAGGCCATCCTAGTGTTCGGCCTCATTTTGACATTTGATAGCTGGGCAACCATGGGTAAGACATCTTGACTCTCTTATAGTTACGTACGACATGCATAACCAACACTTCCTTTCTACCTGATTTTGAAAAGTAGAGGTGTTGAGCGATGAAATACACAGAATGGTCATTAAACACCTGTTCAAGTCTGTAGAACAGCACATGTGCAACACTGAGTGGACCCTAATGTAAACAGTGGACTTGGCTAGGTCTCTGCAGGTTCACCCACTCAGCAAGTATACTGCTTTGATGGGGGCTGTTGGTAACGGGAGAGGCTGTGTGTCCTGGTATGTGTATGGTATCTCCTTACCTTCCTCTTAATTTTGCTATAAATTCTGAAACCGCTCATTGAATTTTTTCACTTAAAATGTTAATGATGTTACTTGTACATATGAACCCTAATTGAAGGCGTGTATAACGTGTAGGTAGAGGCTACTCTGACTTCCTGATCCTCCATCCCTGGGTTGTACAAATAGCATGAGGTTGAAGTCAAGTCCAT